CATTTTCTATTGAAGACAGGTGCTGGTCAGGGGAGTACATAAATATGATTAGACTGCAGCCAGGCTTGGTTTTTCTAGTATTGTGCAGGCAGGTGTTGTCATGCTGGAAATTTAGGTTTATCTTTGGAAAACTTTGATTTGCATAGATGTTGCTGAAGGATTATAATACAGGCTTTGAAGTTCACAGTACCATCATCTAATGCAAAATCTCCAATTCCCTCTGTGGTCATGTATCCTCAAACCATTAGAGACTGTGGCTCTGGACCTGTCTTGAATAACATGCTGAAATTATTAGCTTCATCTTTTATATGAGTGACTTGCCTATATTCATATGGTTTACATGAAATGTTGATTCATATGACCATAGTATTTTCTTTCAATTATCTTTTGTTCCCTTCAGATGAGTTCTGGCCTAAACTAAATGTTTGCACTGGCATGGTTCATTTATGAAAAGCTTTTTCTTGGATTTGTACAGTCTGTATTTGCATCATTGCTTATATCTCCATGCTGTGTGTATTCAGATAATGGGATATTAGATTTTTTCCTTGCCCACTTTGTCCAATCTTCTATAGAATCTTGCATATATATAACTTTGAAAGAACTATAGTTATCTGGAACTGAGAGGTAGTTTTCTTCCTAAAGCTTTTCTTGAACAAGTGTTTCCTCTTTCTCGAAAACATTTAACAATTCCCTGAATTATAGCCTGAGCTATCTGTACATCCTGCATGGAGAGACTCTTCCTTTATACTTTTGGATAATAATTTTCCTGATTGGTTCTAGTACTGCCTTACCTCTCACCATTTTTCACAGACATAATATGAATTGCCTTTTATATGCTGGTTGTGTGATGTAAGAATAACTACCAGAAATTCCAGAATATTCTCCAAAAATTCTTTTGAAAAAACTTCATTGCGATGTATTGCCAAGATTTGTATATATTTTAGTTTTGTATTCTGAACTAATGAAATACAAAGCAGTAAGTTATTGGAATGAATTAGTTTATTTACAAAAGGAATTATTTATACCACTTGGTTTAATATTTACACAAGTTTATGTAAATTTATGAAAGTTTAAATAGTAAATGGTGTTCATTGCAAGCAGGGTTGTAGTTTATTTTATTATGCATTTATATTTGAATATGATTTATTTTAAGAAATGCATGAACTGAAAAAGTATTTATATTACTGATGCCACAAATAGTGATTTTGCCAAATACCGAATATTCAGCTACGCTCTCGGCCGAAGCACCGAATGTTTGGCAAAATGTGTGTACGTTTCGCGGATGACAGGTTACGATCTGTCTCATTGCGGTGGGTGTGGTAGCGACACTGCAGGCGCATTTGTTTTATTTGCAAGTATATCGTGTCATGACATTCATTATTTGTTCATTGTTGCATCAAATTGTGTTACTAATAGTCCTTATTAGTAAAAATATCACTGTTTGTATCACTTTATATGAAAACTGTTCGCCTAGATCGGACACAGACCTTTAGAAGTAGTGGTCAGCAAACGCAAAACAGTATCCAAGCCTGACAGAATTCGCTAAGATTTATCTATCGTCTCCCAGCAGTAGTATATATAGTGAGAGGCTATTTTCAGAAGCAGGTGTAGTTTATGAGGAAAAGCGCAATCGTTTGCTATCAACAAATGCTGAAAAGATTGTTTTCATTCATCACAAGTTACCACTGATAAAATTTAAGTATTAATTAAATATAATAATTTGTGATTAAAATAAATACATTTTTTAGTAATATGTGTGTTTTTTTTTTTTTTTTCATGATTTGGTATTCGGTATTAGGCCAAATGTTGTATACTATTTGGTGAATACCAAATATTAAAAAAAGTAGCCAAATAGGCCGAATACTGAATAGTAGCCAAATATTCGTGGCATCTCTAATTTATATATATAAGTGAACGTTCTTTTTAATACAATTTTTTCAAAAAAAGTTATGAAATATGAATATGAAATAGTATCTTGATATATGTAAACTATTTTCTATTGGATAATTAATACTTTTAGAAATAAAGAAATAATGTTATACTCTGCACTCCAAGAATTTTTTTTATATCCAAGCACAAAAATATGGACTCAGCATGTTTTTTAATTATTATTTGGATTTAATACAGTAGAGCCTTGAAAACTCGGCATTCGATAACCCAGCACTCCGGATAACTCGGCCACACCCTGGCAGGGCAAAAAAATCCTTAGTTAATTAATTTTCATTATAGACAGCTTTATGCCTCATAAAGTATTTTTCTGAGGTCTGTTTTATCAAGTAAATTACTGTACACAGTGTATTCATTAATTTTCATTTTCATGTAGTAAAGACTCTATGCCTTCATAAAGGACGTACTTTTCCTTTGTTTAAGAGTATTTGGGCAGTTTATTCTCTGTTGTATTCTCAAGCAAACAATACATACAAGTACAGTACAATATTTTCTGAGGAAACACGCATACTTATCCTTTTTTAACCCCATTCCCGATAACCCGGCATTTTCACAAACTCGGCCACCCTTCGGTCCACATTAGGCCGAGTTTTTGAGGCTCTACTGTAATGCATTTAAAATTGCACTCCAAGAATTTTTTTTAATATGATGACTGACAGCTGTTCTCTGTAACATCATATCATTCATATATTTTTTCTACAGAAGTACTTTCATTATCATCAGTGTCACTCTCAATAACTCATGTTTTCTGTTTTTAATATTATTATATTGTGACCGAGGGGTCGGCACCTCTTTGGCGCCCTGTCAGGATGACACCACCGAGCCTCTAGGGGACTCGGAGCTCGCGACGTTAAGTCTAAAGCTTCGCGAGCGGTAGCGTGTGAGCGCTTGGATTCGGAGTAGAGGTGAGGAGAGAGAAACGAGGAAGTGATTCACTCGATTCCAGATTAATAAACAATAACAAATTTATTTTAACGAGCAGGAGTACATGATATACGATCATAGACATCTTGGATTGATATATATATATATCCATATTCTATATCCCTAGATTATCGAATCTAACTGTCGCGAGAGAGAGAGAGTTACAGGATATTCGCGTGTGGATAAATACCTTATAGAGAAGTCGAGGATTGATGACTGGATGATTCTCCGTCAGGATTCTTGGGGTGTTGGATGGAATGTTCTTGATATTTAGAGTGTTCAGGTAACAGGAGCAACTTCGGAGGGAGGTATCCGACTGGTGTTGAGGCACTTAGGTGGGTAAGATATACTTATGATAAGGTCGGCGGATGCACGATATTTTGCACGGTATAAATTCTTGAGCGGACGAACTTTGGAGGACGACTGACTTCGGGATCTTTTTTTTTTCTCTTTCATTCCTCTTGGGGTTTTTCCCTGAGGTCAGATGATGGCTATTAACGGTCGCACGTCCAATATATCTTCTCCATCAAAAGTTCCTGGTGACACATCCCTGACTAACTTGATCTGATTCAACAAGGAACAAACTCCGTGGGAAATAAGTTTTATGGCTTTTAGCCTAACGTTCGATTTTACTTGATTAAAGTTCCAATAAATAAAATTGAAAATAACACTTTACTGAGGGTTAGTTCGGCCCTCACATCAGTGTCACTCTCAATAACTCATGTTTTCTGTTTTTAATATTATTATATTATTATCACTATCACCATCAGTATCATAATTACTTTCATTTTCTTCTACTTTAGTATCATTCAAATTATTTTTGTGTAGTTCAAAATCAAATTTTTTTTCACTTTCAGCATTTTCAAAATTTTAATGTTTTTCTTATGCATGATAAAATTATGTAATGACTTGCACTCATGATTTTATACCCAACAATGCAATAGCAATGTATGAAGTATACCTGTGTTGTGATATCTAGGTAGCAAACTTGTGATGTTTGCTATCAATATTGCTATGGTGGTATCAGTGGAGTTGTGATGTCTACTATCAATGATGTCTTAGTAGCACTAGTATGTATTCATAATTTACAAACAGTATATCTGTAATATACATTATGATGATGCCACAGTGAAGTTATGTGCTATATGAACACTGTTGCTTTAGCAACACCCAAGGAATGAAAATTTGTTAATACTTCTCTGAACTCTTTAAACTCTGTCATTTGAGCATTTAAATTAAGAATTTAAAGAGCATGAGATGATTTCTTTATGCAATTGAACCTTGAAATGCTTCACTTGATAAATTTCAAGTTTTGTTGGTGATTTACCTTTCATAATTTTATTCAAAAGTATCTGTATTTTCAGAACTTATGCTGCAACTATATTGGCATGTTTCATATAACAATTACATGAAACTATATTTATAGATGTAACACAAGATAAATAATTATTTGGAAAAACTAACAATTGTTTGTTATGTATTTTGTCTATATCTAAATATACTGTATATTATTTACAGACTACAAGAAAGACATAGAAAGGACTTGTCTTAGAAGAGTTGTTCTAAGAGAACTGTTACATCTTTCTCTATTATCATACATTAATCATAACCATTAATCAAATGTATATTGTTAATTGTTAAAATTAACATATTCCACTATCTTTTGATTGATATATTTTAACTAAGTTTATTAATATATTTAATTAAGCATTTATTTTTTATATTAAGTTATTTATCAAAATTCATAGAATGAAAAAATATATAAATTGGAAACTGCAGTAACCAATATAACAATGCTTTAAAACCATGAAATGCAGCAAAACTTTTATTTACTAACATTTTCAGCTGTATTTAACCAACCTTTTTCATGTGGAACACATATTTAAAAGTAAATTAAGAATGAATGCAACTGTAATTCAAATCTAACATTCCAGAATATAAACATTTAAAGCATGTTTAGCATTGTTCTTATATATCTTCAGAACAATCATAATGTAAGAAGATCAGTAAAATATGGATGAAAATGTTAGTAAATAAAAGTTTTGCTGCATTTTATGGTTTTTCAAGTGTTGTTAAAATGGAAAAAGATCAAACATGATAATTTAAAAAATAATTTATATTTGTTTTCTATTAGTAAGTTTGAAAATTGTATTATGAAAATTTGATGAATATTTATTAACATTTATCTATTTTTTACTGAAACCAAATATGAATTCAAAATGCATGAATAAATACTATTTTCAAGAAAATAAAGTTTATTTTATCTGATATTTCCAAGTGCTATTGTACTCATAAATGTATACACCTATACTTAAAAGTATACAGACACATCAGATAAAATAAATTTTTTTTTGTTTTCAAAAGCAATGTTTATCTATATGTTTCTTGTGTATAATGTAAGATAGACGAATGATTGCTGGTAATATTAATTTATCAAATTATAATAGAACCAGACAACTGCTATAAATTAATGATTAGAATATTGACATTATAGTTAGTCATATCATTTATGATACTTAAATTTATTATTCTTTAAAATTTGGAAAACAAACATGTTAGGGTTTGTAGAAAAAATGATTGGCATATCCATATATAATGATAATATGAATTAATATACTTCTGGCAAGAGGATTGGATAGTTTAATTGACAATGTTAAGCATCACAGATTAGAGTTTTGCTTTAAGTGATTTATTTTATCTTTTTTATAAATTTAATTAGTCAATATAAATGAAATAATTATTAAAATTATCAATATATGATGATAAATCTATTTCTAAAATGTATAGCTGATAACTTGATATAGTTTAATGAATTAAGTTTTTTTTTTAGCCGTTTAACACTTTAACATTAAACATACACAACATACCAATATCAGCATACTTGAAAACTTTTGTTATAAACAGATGAAAATATTAGTAAATATTTCTTAATTTTAAGTGTGCTGATAATGGCATGTTGTGTATGTTTATTCTATCCCAGTATTGGAGTGTTATTCACTTTAACATAATTACCCATATAGATAAATTAATCTTTTAATATATTAAAAATATTATTTAATTAATTAAGTTAAATAAACTTGACTGTTATTTTTATTTAACATAATAATAAGTAATTATTTAAAATTGATAAATTCCTTATAACAGTTTAAACAATAATAATAATTTGGGTATCTCTTTTCAGCAACATGCAGCATTGATAGGAGGTGCCAATTCTCAATCGTGCCCAGTATGTCACAAGATATGTTTGAATGGAGAAGCTCTGATGGAACACATGAGAACTACACATAAGGATCCAAATGCATCGGGCACGCCAAGTAAGAAAAAACGTGGCAGATCATCCCGTTCCTCTGCTGCCACCACCACTGCTAGCAATGGGGATTCTGTTAGAAATACTTCCCCTCTGTCTTCCACTGTTCTTGGAATCAGAGTTTCTACATCTAAACATTCTCTTACTGCTATTTCTAACTCTTTGACTTCTAGCGCTCTAACTGCTGTTTCCACTACGGCCGTCTGTGGAAGTGGTAGCGCAAGGGGTATCATGTCTACAATGGGAATGAGCATGAGTAATTTCCTGGTACCATCCATGGTTGGCTCCTCCACATTTGGAGGTCACTCGGGCGGTCCAACACAAGGCTGTCACTATCCCCACCATCCGTTGGTCGCACGGCCTCAACCTTCCTTTCTCAGTCTTTAAATATAAGATAGCACCATGAATGTAACATACGAATCGGACCATCTTTAAAAATGGACCCGAGCTCTCGTACATGACGATAAGATACACTTGATGCAAGAGAAAAAAATGTTTCAAAGCTACATAGAATTTATTTAAATAGTTTCATATATTTTCCTGCACAAAAACATTTAGATATTGTGCTTTAATTCCTTCACTGAGCATGTTTGTCTAAGAATAAATGTTAAAAGAAAACTGGAATTACTGATACTTGTACAATATTGAAACATATAATTTTTAATTTTTACTAACAAAACAATATTTGTTCTCATAATACTAAGAGTATAGGTTACATACAACAAGCATCATTCCAACATAATGCAAATGGCTACACTCAACTCTTACATCTAAAAGTTTAATTTTAAGATTTATAATCTACATATTTACTTCTCTTTGAAAAAAAAACAAATAAGGTTCCTTAAAGGATGATTTCCACTCATCCACATCCTAACAGTCTACTAATTTGGTAGGTCACTATATACTACCTCAACTCTCACAATTGATGAGAAGTATCATACAAAAAAAAGCTTTTCCTACAGTATTATCCCTATAACACCAGCTCAACACTGATTTCCTATGAAGAGCCATTTTGGCAAGTATAAATGTATCCACTCTATTGTAAAGAATAATACCTCAGTATTCAGAAATACTATAATTCACTTAGCCATTCATATTTTGTTCTAATATTCTAATAGAGAATGGCCAAAAATTACTAAAACTACATTTCTTAATTACAGTAAAATCTTTTTTTTTATTTATTTCAGGTTTTTCTTTAATATTAAATCAAAAACTAGTTTTAGTTAAAAGTATAAAAGATAAAGTTTTCTTTATTGTAAACAGATGAAAAATATTTATTGATTTAGACTTGGTAACAGGCTAAGTGTGTTATATTTTACTCCTCAGGATATGGATGCAAGCAATGACTGTTACTTGCACTGCCACAGTTCTGTGTAGTTCCTATTATGCCATTGAAAAAATTATTTAAAAAGATAGAAAATAATAATAATAATAATAATAAAAAATAATGATGATGATGATAAAAAAAACTGAAGAAAAAGTGTTACTATCATGCATAAAGTGGTGAAAAGTTACTATAATTCCAGATATTTCAGCTGCTCGGATCATATATTGTACAGTTTAAATATTGCAATCGGCACAAATAGTAATAAACATATGCATGCATATTGTTCATAGGGACCCAGTTATATCATTCATATCTTGTAATCTCCATGTGTATTCATTGTAAATAAACAGGTTTAATTTTGTTCATTTTTTCATGGTGCTATCACTACCGAATTTTCACTTTTTCATTACTGTTTTCCTCGTAGTTAAAAATAAGGCCTAGTGGTGGCAGTATTCATATACTTTATTATTTTTTCATTTCATTTGTCTTCCAGTGCAAAAGTCACACTAAAAATGTTTCCTGCCAAATGATGGCAATAAAAATAATTGTTTTTTAATGTTTTTTGTAGCACTGGCAGACTTTGATTGGCTTAAAAAGCCAAACGGTACGGCATTTTCTTATAAAAAAAAAAAGAAAAGAAAAACTTAGATTTTATTTGAAAATATGGGACTCATGAGGTGTGAAATTTTCTCATGTAAATGATTTTGTTAAAATATTGATTATGTTTTTTAGGCTCTGAGCCCTGTTTTACAAATTATTTGTTGATTTGATAAATGTTTAAAAAAATTTTTTTTTATCATTATTATTATTATTATTATTACAAATTTTTCTGCTTTGTGCAAAAAAAATTATAAAATATACATATATATATATATATATACATATACATATATATTGTTTTAGCACATTATTCTTGTAATATCTGATATTAGAATTTATTGTAAATTATACTTTTCAATTTTTATTGTAAAATACACACGATTACACATTTTTTAACTGACAAATTGATATATATATATATATATATATCTATATATATATAGATCTATAAATTTAAAATTGTACATTTTTTTTTAATTGTTATCCATTTAAATAATGATAATTAGTTGAAATTGTTAATGGTCATAATTATGTATGAAATAGTACTTAGTAGTTAAATGAGGTGATGAAAGAGGTCATAATATTTAAATTTTCATTCATCATAATTTTCTTTTATTTAAAAAAAAGGAAAACTTTTAAGTTCAAACTTCTATCAACAACAAAGTAAAAACTATAAAAAAAATTTTTAAAAATAATCTTTCAATTATAAAAAGCATATAATTTGGAAATTGGAAGAGTTCCTAAAATTGCAGTAAAATTTAAATTGGCAATATCAGTAATTATAAAAAAATTGTAACAGTGGTTTTTCTCATATTCTGAGTTACTACTATATATAAATATAAATATAAATAGATTTTTACAGTATAAAAATATAGAAAATAAACTGAAAAGATGTAGGTTTTTTCATCTTTTATTCTTAAATTGTTAATATTTTTAAAAATTAAAATCATAAACAAACATAGGAAAGTACAGTACGGTCAGTTACAATCATGTATCGTCTTGGTCCGTCGTATAAACTAGTTACATGTATAAATATTAGACAACTAAAATAATTTAATAATGTTATGTCTAATACATTACAAAGAAAAATTTGTAAATGCTCAAGTAGTGGAACTTATATCACGACATAACGACGAGATAGTTCACTACAAAATAACATTTTAATAAATGAACATTAAATGGTTCATTGAGTTGCAATATTAACAATAAATTATTAAATTTCAGATTTTTTTAAAATAATTTTTGCCAAAAGTGCATTCAGGGTTTAATATTGTTGAGACAAAGTACAACATAAATCACTCACTATTAGAGTTTTATCCAATTGAATGTTTGGAATAGGTAGTAGAATATTGTGTAAAATGATTAGTGATAATAGGAAATTAATTAAGTTTAAGAAAAAATAAATTGTCACAGTATTGTTGGTGTTTCTTGTATCATTATGCAAAAGCATAATTGTCTTTCTTCCCACAAGAAATTATTAATTTCTAAATAAGTTCCTGTTTTTGATTGTCACTATTTTTTTCTTTTTTGTTTACATTTACAAAGTTATTTTTTTGTCAGGAAATCAAAGTTTTATGTATTATCTTTTTTTATTTTGTATGTTTATCTAGCACATTTTTTATATTTATATATTGCAATCATTTTTATTGCTTATATATATATATATGTGTTTAATTTTCATGTGTACATAGCATTTACATTTTAAATGTGTAATTCCCTTCAATGAGATGCATCTTTAAACTATTTTGTAAGTGAATTGTGAATTAAGCTGATTTTTTGGCCAGTTGAAAACCAAATGTAATACTTATCACAAGTATCATGTTAATAGTTTAGTTTTCATTTGCATATTTAAAAAACTCGGAATTATCTGGATCCAAACTGAAAGTTTAAATATTTTAATTTACAAAATACCAAAGATTTTTCCCATAGATTATATATTAACCTTAGTTTATACAAATGGTATTTATTGATTAAAGTTTGCAAGAAATAAATGTATATTAAGAAAGAATTTGTAATAATTTGGAAGCAAAATATTTATTTATGATTTCAATATTATCAGCATGCCCAAATTATTTTCAACTTAATGAAATTTGAAAGAATGCTTGGAAATGATTGTAGTGTGTTATACACTAATAATCTTTACTTCCTTCAAAAGGAAAGAAAGATGGGAAATAAAACGATTGTCAGGCAGTCAGATGACTTTAAAACATAAAAAATAACAAAACAATTGAATTGTTTGTAAGAAAGAATTTAGCTCAAAGCTCGTGATGCTTTTTATATTCCTCGGATGGAATATAAGATCTGTTTGAAAGCATACGGAAAGGTGCAAAACTTCGGAGAGAAATGTTTACTGTGTAACCGTCTCGAAACTGCGAGTCGGGATTTCTTTTCTTATGTATGTGTCTGTAAATAATGTAACAGAGACAGTGCCTAAAATAATTTCTTATTTCTGGTGTTAAATTGTTACATGTATCATTGTCATTCAATAATATGCATTTAGCTAATTTTTTTAAAATATGGTATGGTATTCTTAAAATGGAATGTCTTAATTAAACATTATTTGCAAAACAGCCATTGAAAATTTATACAAAGGATTGTCTCTGAAAAGAAGAGAGAAACTTAAAAAATTTAACTTGTCAATGTTTTCGATAATACGTTTCCTAGATTAGAGTTTAACCGTATAGAATTTTTATATTACCTATGACTGTATTTTAACTTATTTATAATGATTTTTGCTAAAATGTTTTATATTTAAAAATATTATTTTACATAATTTTTTATTAATTGTTCTCATTAATTCTTTTATAGCTATGGTTAAAACTTTACAGTAATTATTGTAAAAATTGGCTTTCTTTTCCTTTTACTCTTAATGCAAATAGAAAAATAAAAACACTTTTGCATATATTTGCAATGTAGATTTGAATAGATTTTCAATGGCTGAAGGTTTGAATACTTATCCCTGCTGCAGTTTCTACCAATCAATGGATGATTAAAAGCATTTAGAGTGAAGATTTTGTGCTATGTGAGGTATCTGAGCAATAACAGCTTTTCCGCATGATACATTTTACTTTTTTATAATT